GTCATTATCTGATGATTCTTTCTTACATGAAATTGGAAGCCCAATGATATGACAAATTAATATGTATTTTCCTTCATATTTATACTACACAATTTATATTTTGTCTATAATATTTTTAAATTAAAATTGAGTTTTAAATTACCGTTTTGGAAAATGGTTAAAAAATAAATAAATATATAACATAGTTTTTCAAATTCTGTTAAAAAAATTGATTAATTTGGATTGATACTAAAAATGTATTTTTAATATTTTACAGCCGTAATGTTAAACTATCATTATGCTCTAGTGTGCTTCTGAATTTATTTCATATCGCTTCCAAAATAATCCAGTTTGATAATTTTTTCTGAGAATTTATTTTTTAGATCAAACATCCACAACTATGAGAGAAGTAATTTTGATTGCCAATACCTTACTAATGTACGCTATAATTATCATTAAGAATTAATTAAAATTTACTTAATATAAATTTTTAAAATAACCATTTCTCAAACTGCAGTTTGTCAAACAACATGTTGTTCATTTTTATTAATTAAGTAATTGCCTTGCGCTCATTTTCCTGTTCGCTTACTAAATTTTCTTATCATTGGGAATATTATTAATATTTTTATTCATTTAAATAATTTTCGATAATAATAGAAATTTTTTTATACAATCATCACTGGCATTTTTCGTAATAATTACTATCTGGGCAGTCTAAACCAAATATTGAGACAAAACATAAATATTAGGTAAGGCAATTTACCTAACATTTAAATGAACTAAAAATTAAAACAAAAGGCAAAATTAAAACAAAAACTCGCTATCTAACATACTGTTTGTTTACTACTATAGAGTCATATTTAAAATAAGTAGTTGTACGTAATATACACCATAACACTTAAATTTTCAACGGATTAATCATAATTTTTCAATATTTGTGTATATACATATTAATATGTATATTGTTATATAAGTATATTTATACATATAAGAATGTAAACATGTAAAATATTTATGAGTATAATTATTTTTGCATAAATTTTTATGTTTTACAAAATGCATTTACTATATTTACAGTATAGTAAATGCATTTTTAAAGAAATGCCCATTCATAATTTGTCACCATGCATTGTAACCAAAATTGCCACTAAAGAATGAGTCACTTATCCATATTTAATTATATGCACACATAATATCGCAATATTCTTTTATTTCAATATCAAAGGTAACTTATTTGAAATAAAAAAAGTATAAAGTAAGCAATTAAATATAGTTTAATTAAAAACTTGTTCATTCAAATTGACAATCTTTGTGTATACTAAGCGAAAATTTGAGTATACCTAGTTAATTTGAAAATAATACAAAATTTTCAAAATAAATACTGGCATCAAACGCTCTATATCAAAAAATTAACTTGTTTTAATTTTTTGCATAAATAAATTTTATAAATTTTAAAAGAAAGTATAGCTATAATTATGTTTGAATTGTCTAACATCAAAAACTACTTATTAATGACGAGTACTTTTATTGTTTTATACTCTTAATTATAAAAAAAAAAATGCAGGAACATTATCAGTGCAAGATAACAAAGGTTAACATACACTTAAAAATTTCCTAAGCAATACGGAATTTGTGCTGAATATGCCATACGTGCAATAAAATTATAAATAATATTTTTGAATTTCCTTATTACTTAATACTAATTATAAATTCAATACACACCTCTAACCATAAAACTGATTAAAATTTTAAATATTTAAAAATTAATATTGAGGGACTACATAAAATATCATAGATATTCATTTTGATATTTCAATGCCTATTATATGGTCACATCAAAAGTGTATTTATGCTATTGAAAAAAAATAGTATACGGCTTTCCAAGTATGTATGTATATATTCTGTATTTCTGTAAACAAATTATTATGTTTAATATTATGTCACATAGAATACTTAATTTAGTATATGGGCTTTTCTAGAATGTTATTTATTAATAGTTAAAATTGAAATATTCAAAGACTACTTATTAAGTAAATTTTGAGATTTCGAATGGCTCATATAAATAACTTTTTATCAATATCTTTAATAAATATTATGTTTAAAAATTCATTTATAAATAGAGAACAGGGCAACACGCCGAAAACTACATTCATCCTAAGTTACCCAATACTTACAAAATAAAGTAATAATTTTTAAGAGCCCTATATAATATTAAACTGTAATTGGGACGATTGATATATTACTTATGATGTCATATATTATTATGTGATATTGATAAGATATTAATGAGGGAGTGTCAATAATTAATATACTTATGCACAAACATTTAGTAAAACATTGATTATTTATGTACTAAAAACGTAGTTATCCGTTACATATATTTTTTTTTCTTATTTTTCACATTACAAATCACGCGTAAAATATGAATAATTATTATGCATGTAGTTACGTACATATGAATAAATACATATACATACATACATCATATGTCAGGTGTCATAAAAAATCAACTCAAGTTAGTTCAAATTATTATCATTAATCAAAATCCATGAAATTAACACAAATAAAATTGGAACCAGACCAATGATTTGTAAAGTTGTTTGAAAATGAAAAACAATTTATTAATGTCTAGAATCTGCTGAAGTTTTTAAACTCTTACTGTTTAAAGGAAAAAAGGTCAACATTTACTTTTACTTTATAACACCATTTTGTATGGTGTTCCGCAGTAGGAAAAGCAGGTCTTCATTTTTCTACGTTTACGGAATTTAAAAAATGTTTGTGATTCCGAAATATTAAGATGTTTTATTATTTCTTTATTTGCATAGGAATTTTTTTCTATGCAAATAAGCTTCAGCACTTCAGGGTTTATTTGCGTATTAAGTTTCAGTATTTTGTCTTAAAAAATGTAAAAGTTTTGTATTAATTGACGGACATTTAAAAAGAGTGAAACTAATTTACAAATTTTTCCAATTTTATTGGAAATCTGATGAAAATTTAAAAGAATTGTGAAAAAATAATTTTATTTACTTTTCAATTTAATTATCTGAATAATGTAGGTTATTTTTGAATATTTGCAATTCTCACCTGTATATATTCCTCTTGAAAATAAAATTCAATAAAATTTGATTTCTTATCTTTTTATCGAATTTTGTTAAGTATAGCTATTATAAATTATTTTAATTATTTCATATTTTACTTTTAATTTTTTGCTTTATCTTTATACGATGGTGACCTATATATAGGGTTGCCCTATATATATAACTTTGTAAGTAAAAAATTTTTTACAACAATAGGCCTCTACCCTGACCAGTTTAAGAGGTAGATGCCATTATATGCAAATATTTTGTTCTTAGTTGATTTTATCGAAAGTAGCTACATTGTTTTAAAATATTTTAAATTTTACAATAATTTCCCGCCAAAAATTTTTTTTATCAAGTATGTGTATTTTTCTCAATGGAACGTAGGTCACTTATCAAAGAAAGTGGTGTAAGACTAGATTCTTCGACTAGAACTAAACAACTTTGTTCATTTCATTCAGATTCGATTTTCCAATACATGAATTGCAAGTGAATTAACGTGTACAGTAATAACGAACAGTTATTACTGTAAACCTATATTTTTACTATATGTATATATATTATAACTCATAAATGAAAAGGGAAATATGTTATTATCAATATGAAGTTATGAGACTATAAATTCCATTCTAACCATTCACGATAAATTTTGGAAAAGAAACAAGCTTTTTAAAATTTCAAAACCAATCTATGTTTCCAAATTCTAATTGAATAATTCGTATTCAAATTTAAATATTGTTGTGGGTGTCTCAAAAATTAAAATTAAAACACCAAATTTTTAATTTTTTTTTTGCTATTAACATATTTGCTCTTCTAGTCATAATATGAATTTAAGTGAAATATTTATGTAGCTAATACGAGAAGTTGTTAGAAATATTTTGTCACAAATATGTAAATAAAAGTATTTTTAAAATTTATTTCATTTAACTCCCAAATCATGGCTTTCAGGAAGAATATTTTAGTTAGAAATTATTCGTAACCACTGGCAATACATTATCATTGTTATATTTTGTTTATATATCCACAATATGCTTTTGTACTGATATATGTAAATATTTTTAAATCAATAAAATCAAATATGTTCGTACAAATTTGTAAATTGTTAACTTTAAAAACAAAATTAAATTTTCGTACTGTAAAATTATTTTATTTAATTTATTATAATCTAATTGCAAAAATTCGTAAGATGTACCTAAAAGCGCTAAGTTTTTAGTGAACTACTAGCAATAAAGTAGCTCAGCAAACTTGTATTTTGCGATTTGTAAGTTTATTAATAGTATAAGCTTTTGCAAATGGCCTTTGTTAGTATCTAAGAAAAATTATATAAGTATACTTATATTTTGTATAAATTGTTATAATTATTGAGTAGCCCATTAAAGATTTTGTAAGTTTTGTAACACTTTACCTTTGGTGAAATTTTAAACCAAGACTTTTTTTTCCAAACTATTAATATTTATTTATTACTTTTATTATAATTTGTTTTTTATTTTTATATTTATTTTCAGATGATGATAGTGATGGTGATCTTGTTACAGATTTTTTAAGTTCTGATGGTAATGATAGTATAATTCCACCACCACAATCATCTTCAGCGTTAATAACAGCAGCAACAACAACAACAACAACAACAGCAGCTACAGCACCCATTCAACAAAATATTTGTACAAATCCATTTTTAAGCAATTTTGATGAGCAACAATTTAATAATTTAACAAATACAACAAATAGTAATAATATTAGCAGCAATAATTATATAAATAATAATAATAGTAAACCAAATAATGTAATTGGAGTTGTGGCAGCTAAAACAATAAATAATCAATGTATGTCATCGTCAAGTGGAAATAACGTTCAACAACAATTTCAAAATTTATTTCAAAATAATCAGCAAATTTATCAACAACAACAACAGCAGCAACAACAAAAAGTAAATCAACAAAATCAACAATTGCATCCGAATTTTCAAAATATTCCATTGATAAATGTGCCAAGTAATCCGGCTCCATCGATAAACACACAAGTCAATATGGTTCCAATAATTAGTGTTACACCTCATAGTCCCGGTACAAAATACAGTAGTATTTTGGGTAAGAGATTTTATATTTTATATAGTTTTTTAACTTGTTGTGTATCAAATAAACTTTATCCAATATACCAACTATGCATAACAAAATTATATTTTTTTATTTTTTACAGAGGACTCATTATGTCATCTACAAAATATACGAGAGAGCGTAGTTCAAATGAAAAATTCAACAGTTCCGATGCATCATGGATTTGTTCCCACGTCTTTAGTGCAAAGTGCAGTGGTAAGTTACTTTAAATATTCTAAGCAAGTGTGTTTATAATTCTGAATAATAATTTTTTTTTTTTGAATTTTTATATTAAATTACTTGTTACTAGAAAATTCTGATATGGCACATTAATTTAATTACATTTTATTTTTATAATTAATTTCAGTTAAGTTCATCTCGTTTATTTTCATCTTGTCCATCATTATCGGATCTTTCAGCAAATAATTTAAGTTGTAGCATTTTTTCACCACAACAACCATTTTTCAATTCTGATAGAAGAAAATCATGGACTGGCATTGAAGATTTAACAGAGTGTTCACATAATACAAAAAGTTCTCATAAGAGGTATAAAAAAATAATAATTCCTATTAAAAAAATTTATTTATCCTAAATTTGAAATTTTTAGTGTTAGTCTTTCAAGTTTAGATAGCGAAGAACAAGAATCAATTAGAGTCGCTGAACGTCATAGAAATAGTCGTAATAGTACTGGTGGAATTTCAACACATTCATTAAATGAGGCTGAACTAGCGGTAATTCTCAACAAAATTTATTTTCTATTTTTAAAACATATTTTGATTTTTATTTTTTAAAATAAAAAAAATTCAATATTTTAGAGAGATTTCGAACGTATAGCAGCAAAAAGAAATTTGGCACCGACATTAATTAGTAGAATACCATTACAAAAAAGTATTTCAACTCCATCAATAGCTCCTTTACGTATTCCCGGTGCCAAAGAAGAGACTACAATAACAACGTGAGTTAAATTTGCCATTTTTTTCTAAAATCAGTTACAGTTTTGTTTTATTATTTTAATTTTTTTTGTTTTTGTAAGAGGTTGATGCTTTATTTCAGTTTTTTTTTTATTTATTTTATTTTATAAATACTTATATTTGTAATTTTCATATATTAAGTTGGTTGGCGTTATTATAATGATATTATTATAATCAAATTAATTAATTTAAAAAATTATTATGAAAGTTTAAAGTTGCTTTGGAATGTACAGAATATTAAAAGCTTTTATATAATATTATTAGTTAATTTTGTTTTTATAAAAAGAATTTAATAATTTAAAATATATAGCGCTGAATGATTATAACGCTTTTTTTTTATTAAAAAACAATAATTGAATTTTGGAAAAAGGTAGAAATAAATACTGCAAAATATGTAATTAAGTTTTACTTCATATTTCACATATTATTATATGAATACAAATAATTTTTAATAAATTAAGTACAAAATTTGAAAAATTGTAGATTAGTTTATTAAAATTATTTTTAAACAATTTTCAATTACAATTTTTCAATTCACTTTCCTTTTGATAACTTTATTAATTTTTTTTGTACCCCATTTAATTAATAAAATAAAATAGTCAGTTAATAAATTGACTCACGTTTTCTAAAAACTTAATGAAAATATTTTAAATTACTTATGATTATTATTAAATTAAGCACGATAGCTGTTTCAATAACATAAGAGTTTTGTACTTAATTTTGTTAATTGTTAATTTCAAAAGAATTTGTATTCATATTTCATTTATAGCAATTAATAGTAAGATAATATTGTTTTATATATATACATATATATTTTTTTTAAGTTGAAGTTTGAAATGTAAATAAGTAGAAACAAGTTTTGATGCAATTTGTATAGCTCAATGTATATAAACTTATCTAGATTATTATATATTCTTAATTATTAATTAATCATTCCAAAAAAATAATCTACTTAATACAATTTACTTAACACAAAGCTGCAAAATCATATTGCCCCTATTGAGCAAGTAAAATTCTTTACTATTATTAATTATTCAAAAAAAAAACTTAAAAAGCCTAAAGTATTCAAAAAATTAATCAAAGGACTGATTTTAAAATTAATTTTCTTCTTGTATTATTATATACATATAGTGTTAAATTTGAATTCTTGAATTTTCAAGATGCATAAGATCTTAAAAATCCAACTTTCAAATAAAAAATTACATATATTAAAATTAATTTAGGAAAGTAAAACCTTTAAAAAAACTATTATATTAAATAACAAAACTTGTTTCAATTCATTTACATAATTTATTTAAGTATGAAGGACGAAAACTTATTGTTTTGTTTTGAAAAATTTGTGAATGAAATTAAATTATTATTCGTTCATTATTGCCGAATTTAAATAGAAAATTTATATTTAAAAAATAATTTTTATATAGCTTTTTGTTTTAATTTTTTTTTTATAGTTATTTTTTTGTTTATAGTTCTTGATTTTTAATTTTGCTTATATTATTAAAATTTCTTATTATTTTATTTTTTTTTTTCTTATTTAATTCTTATGTGTGATTTTTTGATTTTGTTTTGGTCAACATCTGGATGTCAAAATTTTTAACAAATTAATTAAAATATTAAAACACAACAAAAAAAACAAAACCCGAATTTTTCAAAAAACCAAAAATAAAAAAAAATCAAATCATAAAAATAATTACGAACACAACTTTACAAAAATTCGAAATAATTGCAATTGAATAAACGAAATATAACTATCGATGTACGCAAAAAAAAAAATAAAATTCATTTCAAAAACATGAAAATATTCAAAATATATATAAAAAATATTCGAATACACTTAGTACCAGACATCTATCGGATAGTGAAGATGACCAACAAGATGATAGATCGTTACTTTGTGTACGAGATAAAAAGTAAGTATATTGTTCCTATATTCTAAATAGGGGAACAACTTAACAAAATTATAATGTTAGTAGTAAATTATATATATTCATTAACATGCTTCCAAATTGATATTTAAAATTTTGCACAAAAATTTATTTTTATTATTTATTAATTATTACTAATTACTACCTTTTTTTTTTATTTTTTAACGAATATTTTTTAATTTAATGAAATTTTTCTATACTTATATTTATAAGTTTTAATCTATGTATTTTAATTGTTTTTATCTATATATATTACGTAAATATCATAAATATATAATATTTATACAACTAACTCTATTTTATTATTTAAAAAATGCTAAAAAAAGAAATATCACAGTTGTTTTTTTTGTTTTTGTAAATTTTACTCGCACTTCAATTTTTTAATTTTAATAAAATATAAAAAGTTATATTATTTGTTTTATCTGTCTAAAAATTTTATTTTATGTATAAAGCTACATTAATTATATATATATATATACATATATATAAAATAATTATTTAAAATTAAATTTATTCAAAAACAAAAAAACAATTATCAAAATATTAAAAAATTATAAAATAAAAATGATAAATTAGTTTTGATAAAGAAAAACAATTTTTTTTTCTGTAATATTTGTTAAAAAATTTCTATTATTGTTAAATTTTAAAATATTTTGATAATTAATTTTAAATTCCATTCTTAAGTAAAAATAATAATATATTAATTAAAAACTTTTTAAATATTTTACAGTGAAGTATATGCTGACCATCCAGAAAAACGAAGAAAACGTGGTTCACTGTTTTTCCGTAAGAAAAAGGATAAAACAAAGACGAAAGGACAATCGACAAATTGTGATGGTACAAGTTTGATGAAATTTAAATTTTTTTTTATTTTTATTTGTAAATAATTTGAAGGTTTATTTTAAAATTAGAAGCTAAAATTTTATAAAATACCATTGAAAATTTAAATTCAATAATCTGTTTAAAACTATTGAAAATATAAAAGTTAATAATCAAATTGTTAGATTCAAGTTATAAAAACTAATAATTTACAAATATTTTTTGATGTTTTAAATTAAAATATATACCTATTTTTGCTCATATGCACCCACTGCTAACTATGAGTTATCCTGTAGCAGCATAAACATTATTCTAACTATGAGATAACTCGTACCAATAACATGCGATTACATTTAAAATGATTTCGATATAATTTTACTATTTGATTTTAGTACAACTTTCAAAAAATGTCTCGACACAGGTTTTATTTGAATTAAATAAAAAATTTTTAATTAACTAAAAAATTTTATCGAGATATTCCCTAAAAAATCTTAAATTTATGGTTTAACTACTTTTTTAAATAGTTTTTTAATTTTTTTAAGTTTTATTATTGCAATACCTTTTATGAAATCAAAATTTTGAATTGACAGCTGACGTTAAATTTATGAAAACGGCGTTGGCAGTGAATACGATTAAATTCTATATTTGAAAAATATTAATTGTCAAGATGGTATTAAAAATCTTAAAAAAAAAAAATAAAAACAATTTTAAATAAACTTTCATAAATAGCAATAAACAAATAAATTTTGTATACTTTGTATAAGTTACCTTATGCCTCAATTTTAAAGAGATTAATTGAAATTTTTAAATACTATATTTTAGCTTGTGGAGCTACAATTAATTTGGCAACAGTTAAAGATCATGCTGCTGAATGTAAAGGAAAAACATCAAAATTATCAAAATCAGGATCTGGAAAAAATAAATCAAGTACAAGGTGATTATTGAGGAATTTTTATTTTGCATTGAAACATGTGAATTCTGTTTAAGAAAGTTTTCGCATTAACATTTTTTTTTTTTATTATTATTTTTAAGAAGAAAATACAAAAAAAAAATAAGAATATATTTCATTAGAATTAATATAAAGTTTTTGTTTTTTGTTTATGTTTTTCATTTTTATTTCTGTTAGTAATTCTTATATATAAAAATATTAACATTAAATTATGAGTATAACATAATTTAAGTATTTTAAAAAGAAAATAAAAAAAAAAATATCGTTAAGTATTTTAGTTGACAAACTAATCTAATCATTTAATTTAATCGTCTTTTAAATTTACTTAAAAAAATACTTTAGTAAGTTTAAAAAAAAAGCAATTTTTTTTTTTGATTAAAAGAGAATTGAAATAGAATTTTTATTTTTGTTTCTTGATTTTGTTTTTACACTGATCGAAAATGTTTTAAGAAAATAAAACATAAAAATTTTCGATGACATTGTCAATTTATTTTTTTTTTTTTGATAATAAATTTAAAAAAAAAAAATCCAATTATCCGACTCCTCTGTTATATTGAAAACGAAAGGTAATAAAAATTTCATCAGAATTTTATATTAGTCATTTTATATTATTATATTATATACTTATACGCATAATTATATATACATATATTTTTTTAAATTAAATCATTTTTAATGAAATATAATATACTTATATATTTAATTTTTTATAATATTTATATATAAGTATATACAATAATAACGAAATTTTGTTTAAAAAAATAAAATATGTATTGTATAAAAATAATTATATATAAAAAAAAAAGATAATTTTAATTTTTATTTATTTTTCATTTAAATATCCGCTTCTTCGAAATTTTAGTTATATTTTTTACTACTTATATTTGTTTATAACTATTTAATTTTAGCAAGTAATTTTTTCTTTAAAATACTGTTTTTTTTTTTTAATTATATAATTTAACGTTCTTTAAATTTAATTGCTACCGGAATGTTTAATTTAATTTGAATAATTTTGTTAAAAATACGAAAATAAAATTATATTTAAAAAAAAAAATTATAGTACGGAAAATAAAACAAGAAATTTGGTGTATATGAAAGTAAATGAAAAAAAAAAAATTTATTTTAATTCATTATATTGATAATATTATTATGTATTTGTGCTATATGAAAGAAAAAAAAATATTTAAACTAATAACTAATATTTTTTTTTTTAGCTTTTTTACTATTATTTTATTTATACTTTTATTTAATTAATATTATACTTTATAATATTTATTTTGATTTGATTTTGTTCAAGTAAATTCTTTAAATTAGTTTAAAAAAAATATACAAGTGGGTTAACAAAATTTTTGAAATCTAAAAGAAAAAAAAAATTAAAGGACTCTCACTAAATTAGTAAATTTAGCGAATATTAATGATTAATGAATAAAAGAATATTAGTACTTTTATAAAATTAATTAAAATATATAATAGCATTTAGTATAAATTATCCAAACAGGTTCCAACTAAGTTTAAAAAGCTTAAATTTACTATTTAAATTCAAATAAAACCTGTTTTCAAACATTACCTCAACAGCAAGAAATATTTAAGCCAAATTGTGTTGTACGAAAATTTACTATTTAATTGAAATTATTTGTTTTATAAGAAGTTATAATTATATATTATTATAATATTGAAATTTTAAAATATTAAATGATTGAATAAGGATTATTTGAAAAGTATTCACAAAATTTATTTAACTCACTAAAAGTTTTAAATTAAAACAAAAAAAAAAAAAGTATTTTTGTTTTTCTAAAATTGGAGTAATACATTATAAACTAACGATATTATGACACTTTTCATGCTAGGTTTATAACTTTATACTTAATATATTTCGAAATCTTAAAAAAAAATTTCTTTGATTCTTTCATTTGTTTTTAGTCTACTTGAATTTTAAATCTTTTTATCACCTTTCACCTTTATATAAACCGAAAAAAAGTTAACATTTTTTTTAGAATCAAACTTAAACATTTCCCCTTTTTTAAATTTATATTTCCTCTTTTTATTCAATTAAATGCAATAAATTATCTTTTAATCATATATTTGCTAATAATTTTTTTTTTTAATATACCTAAAATTATTTTATGTAATGAAAAATATTTGAAAATGAATAAAACATATCATAATTATCCTTAATAAATGATGAAATGTAGTTAGAAATTAAAACGGCAATATTTATTCACGTAATTGAATTTTTTTTATATATATATATATATATTATATACTATTTGTGAAATGGAGTCACTAACTTTTAAAAAAACCATTAAAAATAAAACAGCTAGAAATAAAAATATAGTGCCTGCTGAATAAAGTAGAGTGCACATGTACAGAAAGCACTTTCCAATTAATTAATTTATCATAATTATTTTATTTTTATTATGAATTTAATACAAGACTAGGAAAAATTTTGAATAGATCCTAAAAAGAAATTATATTATATGAAACGAATACAAAATTATATGTATAAATATTTTGTTTTTAAAAAGAAGACAAAAGAGTATTTATTAAAAATTAAAAAGAATACTCTTTCTTTTTAATTTTAATACATACTCCGTTTTTTAATTCATTCATATTTGATTTTGATTTTTTTAATTTATTTATTTTTTCATTTTATAATGAAATTTTGGAAAAAACAAATATTTTCATTTTTGAATTTTTGTAAACAACGTTTCTGTTTTTTGTTTTAATTTCAAATCGTTATTTTTTTACTTGTATGTTCTTTTGTTAAAATTAAAAAAAAAATATTTTTAAAATTAATTTTTTAATGAAAATAAAAATTTGCTTACATGAAAAAAAATAAAACAAAAAATATATTTTTTTTTAAATATTCATTTATTTGAAAAAAAAAAAACAAAACAAACAAAAAAATTAAAACAAAAGCGGAAAGAAATTAACTGGATGCTACTCTCCTTGGAGATTGGTTGCTAACAAGCTAGGTGTGACTTCACACGCTAGGTAAAATACAACTAAAAATTCAACAAATAAAGACAACAAAAAAACACATATATTTTTTTAATTGTTATATCATTTTATATTATACAGAATACTAAGTATTACTACATTAAAAAAAAACAATTAATGAAAAAAAAAAACAAAATATACATTAATATTATATACATATAATTAAACAAATATAAAATAAATATAATAAATTAAAATTTTATAATTAAATAAAAAAAAATATTATATACATATGAAAAAATTTTTGTTCTTCAACAAATTTTATTTTAAAATATTTTCTTAATTTTATTATTCGAAATGTTAATTTTTAATTTTAATTCGAAACCTTTGTATGAGAAATTATTTTCTATTCTTTTTTCTCTATTAAGTCATTCAAATTTTTTTAAATTCCTCATTAATTCTTGAATTAAAACGAAAAATCTATTACACAATCTATTTGCATTAAGGAAAATATTTTTTTTTTCTTTGTTCAAATTTATTTTATTTTTTTACATTTATATCAATATAATTTTAAAAAAAAAAAGTTCGCATATAAAGTTGAAAATTTCAATTTGTTATTAAAACAATTTTGTTATTCTGTTTCTGAATTCTTAAATCATATTTTTAAAATAATAAAAAAAAAATCGTTTTTCATTTTTGTGTTTTCATCTACAAAGTAGCAGTATTAAAAATATTAAAAATTATTAATTATTTTTAAAGAATTCTAATCAAATCATGTTTTTTTTTCATCACATGAATTTGTTTCAATAAAAACCGCATTCAGAATTTAAAATTTACTAATTAATTTCGATTTTATTAACACAAATTTGCAAAATATTAAGATATCCTAAAATACAATTTTATTTCGAAAATATTTTAAGAGATTAATTTAAATTCTGAAGTATTTAAATAATAGATAAAAGTTGATTTTTAAAAAGATTGATTTTTGAAAATTTGGTTCTCAAAATTAAAAGAAAAAAATTATTTAAAAATAATATTGTAAAATTCTAATCAGATTTTTTTCCCTTCAAGTATTTTTAACTTCATTTGGTTAAAATTATTTTAATTCAACTTAATAAATTGTATTCTAAAATGTAATTTTATATACACGCATATCAATATAGCGACGTTTATAAAGTAATTTTATATTATTTCATACTGCTATTTTGTGTTACATCATTTCTAAAAAATTTATTTTTAATCAAGTTAAATAAAATTAAAATTTTATTAATCTTTCAATTTATATAATAAATATTTTCCATTTAATGCCTTTTTAAATTTATTTTGAACGCTTTATTTTTTAAAGTATGTTTCATACATAATTTAATACTTCATCATCATTAAAAAGAAAACTCCTGCTTTTGTAATTTGATTTTTTGTTTTAATTAAAATTTTTATAAAAATTTATATAAAAATATATTAAATAAGCAAATTTAAATAAATAAATAAATAAATAAGTAAAAAAAAAAAATCAGATTTACTACAAATACAGACATCATTTTTTCACTCTTTAAAACAATCTGAATTTGGTTTTTCTGTGGAAATTTTCTGAAATATATTATTAAAAAAAATTATAAGAAATTTTAAAGCAATTGTTGTTCAAATTTTGTAGTTTTGTTTCTTGAATTGGTATTTTTCTTATAAAGTATTATTTTAGTTTATTTTTTTACTTTCTTTAAATTTTTTAAAATTAATTTTTTTCATGTTGGTTTTTTTATTGAAATTTATGCAATTTTTTAAAAGTATTTTGTCATAATTTAATATTATAAAAAATAAATTTAAAATTTGGATTTTTCGCAGACAGTTAAATATTGTCTGTTATATAAGGGATGAAATACTAAGTATTAAAAAATAAAAAACGCTAGCTTTTAAATTTTCGCAATGTTGACTAACATGTTTTCAAAATAGTATAGAAATGTTCTATTCAAAATATTAAAAATGACATTTAAAAGAATTAAGAAGTACAGAATCACCAATAAATCTCGGTTTGCTATCAAGTGCATAATAATAATAATAAATATTAAGTAAGCTGATTTATTAATAACAATTTCGATTAGATTTCTTGTAAGATGTTATAATTTTTATAATCAACAAAATGTTCTTAATCTTTTTAAGAAAATAAGACGAAAACGGTAACCAATTTATTCTAAATTAACCGAACATCCAAAAATTGCATAAATTTTAATACATTTTTTGTAGCAAATCAAAAAAAAAAAAAAGAAATTAAAAATTAAATAAAAAAATTTTCACACAACTTAAAAGTAGTATCTATTCAAGTTTTTCGTGCTATCTTTTTTCTTGTTGAAACAGTTTTTCCTGCACCAATTTTATAAAAGGTTCTTATATATTTGTTTTTATATAAGTTATATTTACTTATTCGAGTAAAAATTTGTTAAGAATTAAATTCACACCCTTCTTTTAATATAATTACATATTATATATTTTTATATATATATATATAAATATATTATTATAACATATATTATAAAATTTAAAATATTAACCACGATTATTTATTATTTTAACCTATATATAATTATATTATAAACATATAAATATATAAATGTATGTTTGTAGTTTCTGCTCTTATTAATTACCTATGTAGTTGCAAATAAATACAATGTAATTAAAAAAAAAAAAGTTTAAAATGAAAATTAAAAATTCCTGCTTAATGTACATAACAATTTTAATCAATTTATTGAACTAATATCATTATCTAAAGAAAATTTTAATAAGACAAGACTATACGAGTTCATATTAAATAATTCGAATTAAATATATTTTTAAAAATAAAAATAGAAAACCTTTTCGGTTAAAAAATTAGGATTCTTATTTATTTAATATATAAATAAACTAAATTTCAGATCTCTTACTTTTATTAAATTTCAAATGGTTCATAATAAAATTTTGAAAACTACAAAATATTTGTAACAAATTTTTTAATTTTTTTAATTTTGTAAAATATTTAAAAATTTGTCTTATTTTCCTTTAGCGTCTTACAACGATGATCGGTTGATTTGCGTAGTTTCTTAATATACAATCAGATATTGAATAAATTAAATCATTTAATAGCAGATTCTGTTAAAATTTAGGATATTATTTGAAAAATTTATTATGAATTTTAGATAATTAAATATATGATGACAGAATTTTGTAAAATTTTCAATTTTTTTTAATAGTGCTTTGCTAAATTTACTAAGTTTAATTTTTGATTTAACAAATATTGTATTGCATACATTTGTATATATATTCATGTTCTAAAAAATAAATAATGCAGTGTATTATAGTAGTATTCAAGTAATAGCTTATAAATTAGCTTTCTGAATAAGAAAATCAACCTGAAAATGTTTTCAAATCTTTATTTACTTAATAGTTTACATTAGATATATCAGTGATTTTAAATACCGAAATAAACGAAATATGAAATCAGGCATACAAAAAATTTTATTTTAATTTTGTCGAATTTAAATTCTTGATCTTGTATATAATAATACAAGGTAAATTAATTCTCTTAATGAATAATGTCTCTGAAATTTGTTTTTTTTTTTTAATTTTCTAATTTTATGTTTGAATTAATATGTTGCAAAATATTACAAAAGATTAACAACACTATATGATATCAGGTTCAACTTTCACATTAATTTATGAAAAAAAATAATTAAAAGAAGATAAGGCTTTTTATTAATTTATTTCAAAAGTTAGGACAATATAATAAATATTATAGAAAATATAAAGTAAAATGTAAATTACCAAAAAACATGATTCTGAAAATATAGTTAGAATTTTTTGCTCTTCTATAATATAGAAATTTCATTTAAAACTATTTTAATTATAATAAGTAATTATTATTTTAATTATAGTATATTTTAATTTCTATTAATTTTGTAATTTAATTACAATTTTAAATATACAAAAATCTTTATATTTAAATGTAGGAGGAAAAATATAAAATATTGTCTCTATTTTTTTGTTTGTTTTTATTCTAAAATTTTATTTATTAATTTTTATAATTATTTGGGCTGCAAAAATTTTATTATTTTTGTTTTTTATTTTATTAAAAATTTTTATATTACATACATATATTATATATTTAAAAATATATAAATATATTTTTGAAATTTATAAATTTTATATTATTAATATTTAAATAATAAAAGAATAGTAAATTATCATATTATTATATAATCATGCTTCTAAATTCTTTCTATTAATATAAAATTCTATTAATTTAATTCTTTTTAATAAAGCATTAATTCGTATATAAAAATAATAAAAGAAAACATTTCTGATTAGATAGTTTATATTATAAGTGTGCCGTTTAATAATTTTTATTGAAAATATTTGAAATAAAAAATAAACAATAAGTGGATATTGAACTTCAATTTATATAGAAAAATTTATTTGCTAAAAATTAAATATTAGAAAAATATAAAAATTAAAATATACGGTTATTATAGTATAACTATATATTTGCATATATAGTTATGCTATAATAACCTGATTCGGAAATTCGTGCCGTGCAAATTTTTGAACTTTTCAATAATAATATATGAGTTTGCTTTCTTTTTAATTTTAAAATGTAACATATGTATTATTTTCTTATGTATAATTAATTATTTTTTTAATATAATTACAAATGTTTATCAAAAATCGATTTTTAATTATAAACATTTATTTATCAAGTTTTATTAAAATATAATTAGTTTTTGTTAAATAAAAATGAATTAGCAGCAATTTCGCATTTCATTAAGAATTTACTAATACAACATCATAGTTGTGAAATTAATTAATATTTATATTTAATTATCGCATTTCATATTTAATTCGAACAATTTTTGCGAACATATAAAACTTATTTATATTAAACAAAAATAATAGTATCGCGTTAATAATTAAGACCTGTAATAAAATGAAAACGCACGATTTGCATATTACCTACCATAACTTTCATAAATTTTTATATTATTTATTTTAATAAAAATTATTACAGTGGTTTATTTGCCTATATTAATACAAATATTTTTTGATAATTATTTCAAGTTACTAAATTATATTTCAAATATTTTCTTTAAAAATTTACAATTTTATTATTAATATTTTTTTTTTTTGTCATATATTTTGCTAGTGTATTTTTTTTTATTTATAAAATTTAATTCTCTCTAAAAAAAAAAAAAATTTTAATCATTTTATTCTAAGTATTTATAAATATACAAGTATAATACAATAAAAATAATATTATTTAATAATAGTATATTAATGCCGCTATTATATACCTATATATTATTTATTGTACATGTTTATATAATGTAATAAATTATACTTGTATATTATATTATTTAGAAACATTTTCGACTATTTCGACGTTTAATTTGCATATTAATATTTTTCTTCTTCTGCTAAATATTATAAAAAAAAAAAATATTCGAATATTGTTTTTATCTATTCATATATTTTAAATTTTAATATTAAATTTTTTTTTTGTTTAGTAATTTTTATTTCTTTTTTGTTTTTCTTCAAAATAAAAACTAAAAAGAAAACTTGTTTAAGAACATGTAAAAATGTTTATATTTTTTCATTGTTATTTTAATTGAAGAGTCCTTTTTCGATTTTATGAATATTTTTCTTTAATTTTTCCTCACTTTCAATATTAAATATTTTATTTTAATTCTTTTTCAAAAATTCTTTAATTTTTTAAATTACAAAATATTTGTATAGGAATAAATCCTTTTCTGATTAAAGGATTCTATGTTCTTTTCTATTCATATAAAAGAGATTTCCTTTTTTTTTTTTTCAAAAATCCTTTATGTTTCTTTACTATTATTTTTTTTTCTTCAAATAATTAAAAAAAATTTTATTTGTAATTGTTTTTCTTTCTATAATTTTTTGTTTGTTATTATTTCTGTCCTTCTTTTGTAAATTTTTTTTTTTACGTTTTTTTATTTTCGTTTTGATTTTTACATTACGCTTGCATTTATATTTAGCCATACTTCGCATCATGATGATAACCGGGACTACTATGATGGTCACAATGACAATTCAAAGTAAGTATTTTGCTATGAAATCATAAGAAATGCTTTTTTGTTAATTTTGAAATTTATTTGTAATATTTTTTTTTTTTTGTGAGAAAATATTATGTTAATAATAGTACAATTTTTGAAAAACAAATTTTTTTTTGTTTAAATTGTAAAAATTAAGAAAAGAACAAGTTTTTCTTTTAGAATTCTATGGTTTTTGTTTTTTTTTGTTTGTTAAAAGGTAAAATTTATTTAGAAAAAAAACAAAAGCCGAAATATTTTTAAAAATATTTTTTATACTCGTAAAACCATTGATTTGTATTATTGTATATAAAGTGTAATAAAAAAAAAAAAAAACAGAGAAAAACAATTTATTTTTTTTAGAGCATCTCATAGTCATAAATTTGTTTTTGGTTTTTCTATAAATATTTAAGAAAAAAATTAATTAATATTAAAATTATTACTTAGAATTTCATATTTAACATTTTATATATATATATATAGTATATTATATACATACAATTATATATTATAATATATTGTTCAATGTGATATACATACAAATTTTTCTATTTTATGTTTTGAAAATTTTTATTTTCTCTTTTTATTTTCCTTTGTTTTTTTGTTTAAATATTTAATTAATAAATCTATACTTGAAAATTTAAACAAAAATTGAGAAAAAAAAAACCCAATTGAAAATTTTATTTTTCATATGAATTTGGAATTTATTTATATTTTATTTTTATTTTTATTTTTTTTTTTCATAAAAACATTTTAGTTATTCTGATGATACACCATTAATACGAGTTGAATTTTTAAATGAACCACCGATTGGACCTCATGATTTAGGAGCTGATCCAGCATTAGGTATTGCCTTAGATGAACATGATTCATGGAGTCCTAGTGTGCCAAAAGAAATTGTTAAATCATTAAAAGATAAACAAGTAAGTTATTAATAAAATTAAACTGCATTCGGTATCTTCCAAAAAAAGTTGCTTTTAATTATAGTTTCTTAAAAGTTTCTTTTAGTTATAATCAATATTTTTTTCCGTGACATTGAAGCAAAACTGATCAAATCAGAATAATAAAGCTCTAAACCATTGGAAAATCTTATTTATTATAGTTTTATTTTGATAAAATCTTTTGTGCATCATTTTTCAAACTCTTGTTTGTCCATCTTAAAACTATCTCAATTGAATACTAAATGTAGTTGGGATTAAGTGAATTTGGAATATAAAAAAATTGTAATTTTTACTAAATTAAATTTTACAATATTTTATAATATTTTCGAACGTTTTCTTATTTTTAAATGATATTATGCCATCAACTACAATATTAGAATTAGTAAAATTTTAGCATTACTTAATAAAAATTTAATGTTTATAGCTTCTGTTAATAAGCGTCAATAGTTGAAGACTTTTAAGGGTAAAAGTAACAAAAGATATTTATTTAGCAAAGAATTAAATAAATAGCCAGCAGTTTATTTAATCATAATTTTACAATATTTGTAACTGATTATATTGGACAGCACATTATATATTATCCACGATATATTGGAATCTTACATTATTAAATTATTGACACAAAATTTTTTTAATTATAAATAATTACAATGTTAATATACCGTATGTTTGTTCAATAAATTTCATTTTATGTACATATTTATGCATATATACATATATTTTTTATTATCAAATATTAATATGAAATTTCTTTTGTATATTTTATCAAAAATTAATATAATATAGCAGGTGAAACGTCAGGAACATATATATGAGTTTATAATGACAGAAAAACATCACTGCCAAACTCTTCTAGTCATGCAGAAAATTTTTGTTGAAAGTATACAAAGGCATTTTAGTCGTTTAAATATTGAAAGATTATTTCCAAGATTATCAGAATTAACGGAATTACACACAACGTAATTTTATTTATTATTACTTTTTTTAATTAAAAAAATGTTTTAAATAATTTTCATATTTGTGTGTATAAATTCTTAATTTACTGTCTTTTTTTTTGTTCGAAAATATATAGATTTTTGAAAAAATTGAGACAAAAACAGCGTGAAAATGCAGTTGTCGATAGTATTGCAGATATTTTATTGGATTTTCTTTCATCAACATCAGCTCAAAGATTAAAAAGTGCTTATGGTAAGCCCAAAATTTATATTAATTTTAATGTAAAATTTATATTAATAATATTTAGAAATAATTGTAGCCAAATGCCAAATTTTGGGTTAATTTGAATGTAATATAAAGTAATCAAAGAATATGTATATAATTTTAAAAATTTAATAAAAGTACACAATATAATGTATTTATTGGTAATTAACACATATTAGTTATATCAATAAATGAACTATAGTTTCTATAACTAATTTTATAAATATAACAATATTTTACTTTGTTACGTCATAATATAGCTTGTGATAGAGGTAGAGAAATGTATGTCGTACCCTTTTTGATTATTGTGTTTCCCAAAAGCTATTTGATTGTAGAATTTTTAAAATTTAGATTTCTTAAACCAAGTAAGCTTCTTTCAGAATTAATTCGCGTAGCACTTCGTTTTTCATGCTATTCATTTTTCAGATCTAGAAATAAATCAGAATTTCTTTTCCTCATTGATTAGTTTCAATAACTTATTAAAAATTTTTTACAAGATATTAGACGAAATCTATAACCATTTTTCCATAAATTTTAATAAAATTTTTTTGTATTATACACTAATTGAATACAACATAAGCAAATATATAGAAGATTAAAATAAACAAAAAAAAAATTATTAGCATCCTATTTTAAAAAAAAAATTTTAACAAAATAAAATTTATTTTCAAATAATTATTGTTATTAATCTTACATTATACTAGTAGCAATTCCTCTCGACACAAGATCACTGCACTAACAGTTTCATAATATACAATAAAAAATTAAAATGTATAATTGCATTTGCAAAACAAAACAAAAAAATGATTAGATAAAAAATAATAATTTTTTTAATAAAACCGGTTAAAACACACAGCAAAATTCACTTTCATTCACTTTGGGTCAAAAGCACACCGCGTATACGTTATTGATTAAATTTTTTTCACTTTTCATTTCAATTGCATTTCAACATTTTCAATTTTCACAAAATAATATTAAAGTAAAATTTATTAGCATAAAAACTAAGTGGAAAAAATGATGATTTCACTGTTTTTTTTTTCAGTAAATAAGTAATTAGATATTTTTATACGTTTATTTATAATTATTAAAGCTATAATAAGATTATTGCAACTGTTTGCATTACTCTTTTACACTTATAACTTGCGCACGTTGCGTTAAGTATTCTTATATGTGCTTATGGCGGCAATACAAATAGCAATATTTTTAACTACTGTATAAAATAATAACTGTTTTTATTTTTTATTCTCACATGTTGTATATAAAATGTTGTGATTAATTATAGCTTAACTTAAAACATGTTTTTAATTTAATTTTTTTCTCTTCTCATGCCTTAAGCTTTGAAGTTTTAAGTTGTTCTAAGGTGTAGGAAAATTCAATTGGTTATTAAATATTTTATTTTTTTTAACTTTAAAAATTAACAAACTACACAACAAGTAGCTACAACCACATGTATTGTACAATATATGTGAAATATTGTATTTTTTATTTCTTATACGAATTACTAAATATCAAAATAATTACTCGATCCCTGGCCAATTCACCTGATTTTTTGCAACTAAAAACAATTCCAGTTTTTTAAAATCAATGCAACCTAAGAAAAAAATTAATAGGTGCAAAACTGTTACCGTCATGCAAATTGACAACATTTGCTGAATGTTTGAAAATAATTCTGAAAAATCGAAAATTCCGTTTGCATATTACAACTTCCTTCATGAAACGGTAATTTTCACAGTTAAGAGTTTTTAAACTTGCTTCTAAGAGGATTTTATAATTTGCCATTAATAATTTGGGTTTTTAATTTTTTACTTTTTTATTGAACTTAAAAATACTTGAATTGTAACCAATTTCTACACAGTTAATAAACAATTTTTTTCTTTTTCTTTCTCATTTTAAAAATAAAAATTGATTTTAATCTATATTTCAAAATTAATTGTTACTTGTTAGCAAAAGTTAATGCAAAAGCTAAATTTCTTTATGGAAATCTCGAAAACTCTTGAAAGCCATTTTGACAAAATCGTAATATCTGGACTCCAATTGTATTATGTACGCTTTATTTTATAAGTCATAACAGCTTAATTATAAATTATTTTTTGATCAAACAACCAAATTTATAGACTAACAATTTTCATTTAAAATTTTCTTATATTTTCACATATTTTTATCTATATTGAATTTTAAATTCTGACCTTAATAGATGTAAATGAACTTATAAATGTTAAAAATAAATTTTTTTTTAATTTCAATAATAAAAATTATATTTTTAATAAATTCTGAATATTTTTATGTGATCTCGAGACTTTTTGATCGAATTTCAATTTAATCAGCAAAAATTAATGGCATAAGAACGGTATTAAAATATATCGAACGATTTATAAAATTCAAAAAAAAAACATAAAATAAAATTAAAATTTTTATTTCATTAACAAAAAAATAACGCCACCCAATGGTCTTCGTTGTTCATTTGATATAGAATAAAAATTGTATTTATTGTTCTTATAAATAAATTACAATGCACTTGAAAAAATAATACTCTGAATTCTTAAATACAAACATGAATAAATTATTAATTTCCGCTGATTAAACGATAATTATCAATTGTTTTTAATTGCAAATTTAATTGAATATTATTGCAGTGTGAATATTAAAACTAATATTGTATTTGTTTTTTTTGCTGTTTTTATAGGTGAATTTTGCTCAAATCATCGTTCAGCTCTGGAAAAATTTAAATATTATACTAGTGATCAAACGTTTGCTGAATGGTATAAACATTGTTTAACAAATCCTTTATTAAAAAAGAAAGGTATACCTGAATGTATACTCTTTGTAACGCAGGTGAGAAATGTTTTGCAAATTTTCTTCTCTTTTTTTCTTTTTAATTTTGAATTATAATTAATTTTTTGTTATTTTTTTTTTCAATTTTATTTTAAGCGTTTAACAAAATATCCCCTACTTATTGATCCTTTATTAAAAAGTTCAAGAGAGGATCGTATCGAACAAGAAAAATTACAAAGAGCAATGGCATTAGTTAAAGGTATATTAGTTGATGTTGATGCAAGAGTTGCTGAAAAAGAAAAACAAGATCGTCAATTAGAAATATTTAAAAATATTGATGTAAAATCATCGACAATGTTTAAAAATAAAATATTTAAAAAAGCTGATGTTGTTGATACAAATCGTCGTTTGAAGTAAGAATTATAAAAAAAAAAATTGAAATTTTATAATAAAAATTAAATAATTGTCTATTTTAAATTTTAGATTTGAGGGTTTTGCAACATTAATGCAAGGTCGTTCCAAAATGCAAAATGTTATGGTTGTTGTATTATCAGATTGTTTATTATTTTTACAAGAAAATTCTCATAATAAATATACATTTTTTACTCCAGAAAATAAAGTAAGATACTTCAGTAAATTTAAAGGAATAAATTACGTTCTATTTTCTTGAAAGTGTTTAAATATCTATATTTTATTGCTGTGAAATAAAAATGAAGAGTGTATAAGAATTAATTGTTATAAAATTAATTTAAATTAATTACTTAAAATTATTTTATTATTCGATTTGTCTTTGAAAACAAAATCATAATAATATTTATTTAATATTCATTTAAGTTAGCTAAATTAAAATAATGTTTCGATAATTAAGACACCGATAATTTATAACAATTTTTAATGTTTTTCAAGAAATCAGAATTATTCTTAATTCTCTCACAAATTAGAATTAATAATAAATACATACATAAATAAAATTTAAAATATTAATTTAATTTTAGGCTGGTGTTATATCATTACAAAAATTATTAATACGTGAAAAAGCTGGTACTGAATCCCGTGGAATTTATATTATTTCATCAAATCCAGCTTATCCAGAAATGTATGAGCTTAAAGTTCAAAATCCAAAAGATAAAAATGTATGGATTCAAGCTATACGGTAAGTTCATTATGAAATAAAATAACTAAAAATATTATCTTTAAGAAGTTCAGAACCTTCATGAATTTTAAAAAATAAAAAGTCATTATATAATTCTAGCTGTAATATTTAAAAAAAATTCCTAAAAATTATTATAGGGCGGCTGTTTTAGAATGTCCGACCGATGATTTGGAAGCGGATGATCTAACGGCTGAAGAAAAACAAAGACTTATAGATGAAAAGCAAGCAACTATGAGGGAATTGATATGTAAGTTTGTTTAAAATTAAATTTATTATCATAAGTTTTTCTTTTAAACATTTTTCAAATTTTCATTTGTTATTTTTTTTTTTTTTTTGGAAATTCATATAGTTATTTTATTACATTTATATATTTATGTATAGGTAATTCACCAAAAAATAATGTTTAAAATATAATTTATTATTTTTTATTATTCAAAAAAATGTAGTTGTGCTATAATTTATTAAACAAATAATAAATTAATATAATAGTTCGTAATATTGAATAGAATCAGAAATTCAATTTTATAATCTCGTCTTTTGAAAATAATGAGATTTAAATAGAATTAAATATTTAATATGCACAACTTTTTTATTTATTCTTTTTTTTTTGTTTTCATTGAATTCATTCACTTTATATTAATGTTTTTTAATTATTTTAAAAATATATATATATATATATAAAAATATACGCTAAAATAATTAAAAATAAAAATAAACATTATAGCTTTAATTGTTACTTAAAATTACATTTGCTTTAATGTTATTTCATTATGCTATAATCATAACGCTTTAGCAATGGGAAATAGTGAACTTGAAGGTAAGCTAATAATAATTTAAGACCCCCAAAATGTAAAACAATTAGCTTTTTGTTTTTAATACATCATCACATTTCATATTGTAAATTACAATATTATATAGATATTTAGTGTCCAATTTTATAATTCCTATATTTTTTGTTTCATATTATTATGATTTTTGTAAATTTAAAAAATGTTTGTTCTTAATTCTTAATTAAATAATGAAAATTTTCCAAGAAAATAATAAATTTGCGTAATCTATGTATGTATTTTAATTACTTTTTGTAATTAATTCTATTTATATTAATTATTATCTCAACTATAATTCAAATAATAGCTGTATGTAATAAAATAACGTTAAAAATGATCTCAATTCAGTTCATAAAATTTTCATCATCTTTTATAATTTTAGTAATCTCCGGTTATTCTAGCTCATAAAAATCAAATGTCATTTAACTCAAATATTAAATTTATAATTATAAAAGTGAAAAAAATATTTAAAAATTTATCATTTTAATTTTAATAATAATAATAATTAGTTTCTTAAATGTATATGTAATTATAATTTAGGCATCATACTTTAGGCATTCTTTACTTACAATTCTAAAATTCTTAAATTCTAAGTTTCATTATAAAAAGTCTTCAAATTATAATTCTGTTTATAGAACATTTTTGGTTATATAAGTACATATATGTTTAGAGTTTTACAGCATCATGATAAGCTGGCGGTGGAGTTTCTGGTCTTGGTATATCCGGACCATGATATTCTTCTAAAGACATTCGTCTATTATTTAATAATCTATTACTACTATTATTATCATTTTCATCAGGTAGTTGAACAATTAATTGCCGTAATACTTCTTCACTATCAATTTCAGTTGAATTTAAAGGTGAAGTATTTTGTTCTGTAGTAGCCGGTTGTTCATTTCTATTTCTTCCATTACGATTTCTTGTTGTTTCATTAAGAAAATGTTGACTTACTCGATTATTTACTAAACTGCTACGACTTAATCTTCGAATTAAATGTGCAGTATTTTCATTAAAAGCTCTATAATAACGATGACGTGATGGTCGTTCAAATATTCTGGTAACAAATGCTGCAAAATTGCTTACTGTTGCCATTGGTTGTATATTAGCCGGTGTAGATATTGAACGATTTAAAGGTGGAGGCGGTGGCGGACGACGTCTTCTACGACGTGGATTGCGTACAGGTATCGGTGGTGGTAAACCTTCAGTGCTTCTTATCGATTGATTTATTAATTGAACTGGTCGTTCTGCATGTAAATATTGAAATTCTACAATGAATATAATTATATTAAAAAAAGAAAAATTAAGTTCAGTTCTTGTTATTTTGATAACATTAATATTCTATATTTACCTCCATTAGCTGATACAAGATCATTCATATCTGGACTAACTTTTTTATTTGTAGATTTACAAATTTTTGTTGCACATAAAGTACATGCAACCATTACAAAAACTATTGAGGCTCCTATACACATTCCAAAATAAAATATTAATTGTGTATCTCCAATTAAATGAAAAAAATCTTTATTATTATTTATTTCTGGTATATTACTTTTTGAATTTTCAATATATTTCGATACAATTGTAAGATTATTTAAACATTGCTGATACAAATTACAGATATATAAAATGTTATTCACTGAACAAGTTTCCAAATCGTTATCAGCTTTATTTAATTTTTTCCATACTGATTCAATAATAATTCTTGATTTTTCTTCATTGTTAGTTTCAATTTTTAAATTTGGATCAATTATCATTTTTTCAAACATATGATTTCCATTGTTACCACTCTTTTTCAATTCAAAATGACACATATTAAATTTAATGTCGATATTTTTACTTTTAAGCATTTTAATAACATTTTCAATATTTTTATCGCTTATCCAACGATTATTCTCTAAATTAATTGTTAATAATTTTGTTAATAAATTAAATGGTTCCGTTGTTAATGTTATCATTAAATTTTCAGATAAATCTAAATTTTCTAATAATGGCATTTTTGAAAATAATTTTGGATAAATATGTGGTATTTGTGAATTTTGAAGTAATAAACTCTGTACTGATAAACTTATGAATAATGGCTGATTTGGAAATGACATAAATTTATTTCCCGATAAATTAACTTCAATTAATTGATAATTATATTCGAATATTTTTTCATTTATATATTCTAATCGATTATATGATAAATCGATTGATGTTAATTTTTTCAATGTTGAAAATGCATTCAAGTAAATAGTATGAATTGCATTGTAAGCAACTGATAAACTCGTTAAATGAATTTGTTTCTGAAAAATTTAAAAAATCAATTATTTAATAAGGTACTTCAATGTATAAAAATTATTATAAAAGAAAAAATTAATTATATGAAAAAATAAATAAGTAAATAATCAATAAATAAATTAAATAATTGATGTAATGAAAATAATAGTTATTAATGTACTTTGAATGGTTATACTTTTAGGAATTTAGGTCAATGATACATAGGTCAATTTAGAAATGTCAGGAGTAGGTAAATTTTTTCAAAAGATAAGTATATATCAATTAAGGAATACTCAAATTTCTAGGAATACAGAAATTTTAATAAAATTACTTTTGATTCTAAATTTAAGTAAAAAAAGCTCAGTTCTTCCCAGCCGAATAATTTAAAAAATAAATTTATTTCGCGATTAATTTCCACATTCTCCATTTTTTTTCAAATGAATACCTAAATTGTATAAATAAACAAATGTTTTTGTAGCTTAAGTTCTATTAATAATTGCTCTTCTTAATTCTTTACTTACTTAATTCCTCACAACTAGAATCTAAGTTCGGTATATCTATACATTTTAAATTTTTGCGATATTTGAAAATTCTAAATTACAAATTGATATTAAAAAATTGTTTTTATAAAATATTATAGAAAAATTATAAATTTGGGTGTTGAAAATTTCAAAAAAGAAAGTAAATAATTCTTTTCTTTTTCATTCTATTTCACAAAATTTTCATTAAAACTGTTCTAAAGCGCATATTGAGTCACAAATTTACTGTATATATATTTATGTTATCATCAGGAAAACACAAGATATCTGATAAGAAATTATTTGTGTGTATAATTGTTATAAAAAAAAAAGTATGTCAGAAAAATTATAAATGATTCATTTAAATATGAAAAGAACAACAAAGAATGAAAATTTATAAAACTAAAAATACTCACTTTAAAACATTCGTTATCTAATACTGTAATTTCATTTTCATCTAAATTTAATATTTGAACATATTCCGATATTTCTATTAATGCACTTATTAATTTTTGCCTTCTAAAATTCAAAAAAAAAATATAATTTTAAAATTACATGTATAAATTAATTTAAAAAAAAAGTAATAATAATTTTTTAATAATTGAAATTTTATAAAGACCTGCAATTAGCACGATTAAAATTTTCATAAGAATCACATTCACAACTTTTCGGGCAATATTCTTGTCCCTGAACGTAAGTTAATGTCCGTATTATTAATATAAATAAAATAAATTTTATAAATTCCATATTTTAAGATCATTTCCAAAAATATATTTCAAAAAAATTAATAAAAATAATTTAATTATAACAATTTTTTAAAAATTTGTTGCAATTGTAATAAAAGTAACTCCATTTTATAACGTTTTCAAGTGAAACTAAACTATTCTCATGGCTTTTAGTGTTATAATTAGAATAATTAAAAAGCCATGAGCTTTCAAAAGCTTTTCCATATCTTATCATTGATATTTTCATTTTTTTTTATCTTATCTATAATAATATGATAGAAAATGCATAATTTTTGTTAATGGTTACGTGAAATAAAGTTTTGATAAGAAAATTGATAATGGCTTTTAACATAATTTTATAGTAAAATCAGATATGGAGCTACATATTTTATTACCTTAACTTTTCCTTTATTAATTGAACAACTTGTTGTCCAATGGATGTGCCAGTAAAATTGACGACGTGGGGTCTATTAATATGCGGTAATAAATTTATTAGATCGTGTTTTATTTCAAACATTTTGTAATCAAAAATATTATTAAATATCATAAACTTCAAAACACTCTTAAAACATGTTAAATATTTACGACTTTTGAACTAACTATTAAGTACCACCTCAAAATTGCAAAACCTGTTCATCATTGAAATTTTAAATTTGATTTATTTACAATTCTGAAATATTTACAATTATGTCTTTTCCAATTTTCCCCATTTAATAAGATATCAGTGACAATTTCGATAGATTCATAAAATTTCTAATTCTATTTTCAAATAAATAAATTAAATACCTGCCTCGCAGACGTTTTTTCTCATATCTATATTACATTTAAACATAAGATACTGATGTTAAATTTAAACATACATAAATATCTTAAACTAATATATTTTTGTAAACCAGCTTAAACATTTAAACATAAATATAACATATCATAAACGTAAATATAACACAAAACTTTCGCATTCATCCGCTCTACATAAATATACACATAAAATTTACACAATAAGTAAATGTTGTCGAAAACAATACGTAAATAATTATATAATATTAAAATAATATTTAAATGTAATGAAAAAACAACAAAAACAAATTCAGTACTTAATTAAAATTAATTGTAAAATTATATTTAATTATTTTAGATAAAATGAGACAAAAGGATATTGAACAAGCGTTATTATTAGAAGAGAAAATTTTGTTACAATTAGCGTTAATAAAGGATAAGAAAAATATACCTGAAAATGCAGTACCTAAAGCTGAAGAATTTTTATCAAATTTTGGCTCCTACAAAGACTTAATTACTGATGACTGTGATACCGTAGAAATATGGAAAAGAGTTTTAAATACTGTTCAGGTAATTTTACATTTAATATTTTAAATTTTTAAAATAATATTTTCAAAGTGAAATTCATTTAATTTGCATAAATTGTTATCATTTTAGGAAATAAGCCAATTGGCGGCAACATTATATACGGCTGCAACAGGTTTACCTGTTTCTAGATCAGTTAGCTCCGTTGGTGAAAAACAAAGTGATACTTACTCATCTCCCACATTACCAAAGCGTGCAGAAACATTTGGCGGTTTCGATGATAGACGTGTTAATAAAGTAATAAAATATTATATTTATAAATTAATTTTTTTTTTTTATTAAATTGTATACATTGTTCTCTCCTAATAATTTTCTTATTTCTTTTTTAAGACAAATATACCATGGCGGGATGCCGTTTTATCAACTCTTCCGATTTCAACATTGCCAACAAGTAAAGACAATCAATTTTTAAATAGCAATATAACATCATCGAGTGGTAGTGGAAATATTTCTGAATATGATAAAAATTTAAATACATTAACAGCAGCTCAACATAATCAAACGGCACAACAAATATCGTTAAAAGATAATAATTATGCTGCATTACAAGTATCACATCATTTGCATACATTATTATGTATAATATCACAACAAATGACAACAATACATAATTTACAAGCTCAATTAGCAAATTATCGTGATAATCCAAAAACAATTTATAAACATAATGATCAATTGGAAGAGTTAAGAAATTTACAAGATAAATTACAAGAAGAAAAACAGGCTTGGCAAAAAGAAAAAGAACAACAGGAAAAAGAATTAGAAGAACAACGTGTCGCACAGGAAGCACTACAGAAGCAAATAAAAGCTGAACAAGAAGATATTAAACAACAACGTGAACAATTATATCGTAAAATGGAACTACTGTCAAGTCAAGGATTATTGGTGTCACCAAATGTAAAGTTTTTTTTAGCGTTTCCTATTATTGAAATTTTTTATTAGAGTTTAAAGACTAAAATTAAAAATCAATAAAGTTTAACAATTTAAGACCTAATAAGACACAACTCAAATAGAAAAAGATTAATTTTAAAACTTGACCATTAAAATATTTATTACTTTTAATTATTTTTATAATAGACATCAATTCCAATACCAAATATCGTACAAACGAATGATGATGGAAATAATCATCAAACTTCAGATGATATTCATACCACACCATCAGGTATTTCTGTTGCGGATGGTAGCAGTAGTTGTATGCCAGAAAAGAAAAAAGAAAAATGGAGATCGACGTCAAGTAAGTTTAATGTTGCATAATTTTAAAACCAAAATTTGTTTTTAAATTTTTATTAGTTTTAAATTAACTATAAATTTATTTATAATTTTTGTAGTGATGAAGAACAAATTAACACTTGCAATACATTTTCAATCGCCTGAAAATTTTTTAAAAAAGGATAAAAAAAAATTTAAATATAAGAAAAGAAACTATTAAAATTTCACTTAATATATTTCGTAAATTACATAAAAATTTAATGCGTAAAAAATCCAAGTGAAGATTCTTAAAATGCGTTAGGAATTAAAGTTTAAGAATTCAAATTGTAGTATTACAATCCTACAAAATTCCAAAATAGAAACAAGTTATACATCTCTATTTCAAACATACCAACTTTTATCTACTTTATGATTAAATTAAAATTAAATTTTTAATATTTTTAGATTTCAAAAAACAAATTCAATTCTGTGAAATTAAAGCAAAATAGATTTTTTTGGCTGTGTAATTTTGCTTCTCAAATCGAAACCATTTATTTTTTACAGCAACATTCAGTAGTAAAATAAACAAATTAACTACTAAAAGTATACAGATACTTCAGACTTTTTTTTTTCAGATATTTTAATTGAAATTGCAAAATGTTTTTAATATGAAATAAAATTTATATTTTATATTAAAGTATACAAGTAAATCTTGTCTATTTCAATATGTACATAATTCGATCTTCCTCATATTCAAATCATAATTCTTTTTTTCATATTATGTAATTTAATTTTTGGTTTTTATGTATGATTTTTTTGTTGTAAAATTCTACTATTTTAAATTAATTTATTAAAAAATAAAATTTATTTTAGTGTCGAAAGCGCCGCCAGCAAATTTAGTAAGTGCGAAAAATGCACCAAAAGTTAACGAAGCTAATATTAAACAGCAGATACCAATGAAATTATCATCATTATCAAGGTAAGATGATAAACCAGCTGCGCTTTTATGTTACTAGTTTTTTTTTTACTTTTTTTTTTTTGCAATAATACAAATTAATTTTGTTTATTTTTTTTTAATGTAGAAATTTTTTAAATTTAATATTTTTATTATATATAAATTTATTTTTTTAATTTATTTGGACTTGATTTTCTTTGCATTTTGTTTAAAATTTTATTTCTTGTTTTTTTTTTCTTTTATTTGCAAATATATAATACAAGGTAAAGAAAAAACAAAAATTTTTTTATAAAATTTAGAATTTCACATTTTGTGTCCTATATTTTTATATACATATATATTTATATATCAAAATTCATTTACTTCCTCCTACCTTTCACTATTTTAAATACACAAAAAACCCGTACGAAATTTTTTTAATCTGAATAAAAAGAATATTAGTTTTCCTTTTTAATATTTTTTTGAAATAATATTCTATAAAAAATTGAAACATAATATTATGTAGTTATATTCAGATATACATATTTGTACATAATTCTCAATTCATTGGAATTATAAATACTGAATATCAGTTCAGTCATGACATCACCATAGACCCATTTCAATTGAGTATTTTCAGTTAGTATCAGTAAATAATTCATTTATATTTAAAGCATGATGATTGATATTATATATTATAGACCTTCATTTAATCGTTGTAAAGGTTCAATCATTTTAATTTTTAATATCAAAAAAATATTGTTTGATTTAAAAAAAAATATTGTATTAATTTATTATTGGCAATCAGAATTAAAAATTATAGTTACATTCATGATATTATTTAACACATGCTTCAAAGTTTCGACGAAAATTTCTAAAATAATTTTTAATTGAAAATTTTAAATGACTATTTCTTCTAGTTTTTGTTAGAAAAAATTTCTCTCCTCTAATACGAAAACCAAAATCTTTTACAATCTTTTTTATAATAAAATAAATTTTACCTAAATTTAAAAAAACCAATTGAAATAATTTTGTATTTATTAAGGCTTACTTAAGTTTAAGAATCAACTCTAGTGATTTTCTATTTATTTATTATTTTTTTAACCAAAAATATACACAATTTTATTATTTCCCAAATAAATCCCTTTCGTACGGATAATTTATAACTGATGTTAAAATTTTTTAAATTTCTTAATATTAGAAAGTTTTTTTATGAAAAATTTAATAACCTGTTTTACGCAAATTTTTTAAATAATCTGCTTATGCATAATTTATTCCCATAACTTTTCTTTTTTTTTTGTAATTTTGTGTTTTGTTTTATGCATTTGTTTTTTTTTTCATACATAAATAACGTATTTTTTAGCACTAAAACCGATAAGGCACCAAATTCTAGCAATAACATCACTTCACCAAATAATTCAAGTGGTGTCATCACACAAATGTTCCCATTGAAATTAGCTGATAAAAAGGTAGGAATTATGTTACTTTTGTTGTTGTTGTTGTTTTGTTAATTAACCTCATTAACTACTCTTATTTATCTATTGTGAGTTTTACAAATTTTTATGATTTATACTTCGACATATTGCATGATTTTTAAATTTTAGTATTTTTAAATAAATATTTAATCAATTATTTTAATTTTTAAGTGAATTATTTATAAACAATATCGTAAATTTTTTTAATATTCTACAAAATTTATTAAATTTTTGAAATATTATAATCTAAAACTAATTCGAAATATTTCGAACCAAAAAAAAAAATTAACTCTTATCCAACTTAAAAATTATGAATAATTGATTAAATATTTTTTTTTTGGAACAAATTTTTAAATTGTCTTAAAAACTATTGTAATATGACTGTAAGCTTATTTGGAATACGTTTTTTTAAACTCGAAACGTTTTCACAACATAAGTATGAATATTTTTTTATATTTTAATTAAAAAAGAGATAAAATACATTGTATATATATATACTTGTATATATTATAATAAAATGTAAATATGCAATTTATATTCATTAACAACAAATTGAATTCAAAAATATAAGAGAATTATATTTCGAATTTCAGAACCAAAATATGACTCCGAATCATGCCAGAACCGGTAGTAGTCCAGCGATTATCCAACAACCGCCACAACAATCTGGTAATCCAGCAACGAGGTAATATGCTAAACAAATTATATTATTGTATTATATATTTGTAATTATTAAGTAACACTAATTTTTAAATTTAATTATAGAACGAACACTTATCCAAAACTACCGGACCGATACCGATTAAGAAATTCTGATGCTGGTATATCACCCGGTACCGTTGCCCCTGGAACTGGAACATTAACATCACAATCTATTAATAATACAAATCAAATACCAGTATCACAATTGATATCTTGTCAATTGTTGACACAACAACAGGTGCAACAACCCCCACCGCCACATCCACCACGAAATCCATCACTATATACACAGTTAAATACAATAACAGCCTTAACTGCTATAACGACAACAGCAGCAGCAATTGGGACAAATACAGTTTTATCAACAACAATACCAAATAGACAGTTACAAAATTATCCAGCATCTACTATAATCGGTAATAATAGTATACAACAATCACATTTACCATTGCATCAACAACACCAACAACAGATGCAGCAAAAACAATCACAAATAACTAGTAACAATCCTACAACAATAAATAATAATCAGTCAGCAATTGCGACATCATCTCAACAGCAACAAGATAATCAAAGAATAACAAAACCTAGTACTCCTGAAGAGGAAGAAATTTATTTCTGATATATGCCTCTGGAAGTTGAAATCTAGAAAAAGGATTTAAAACGAAATGTAAAGGAGTATTTTATATAAGAAATTTAAGAAATAAAGAAACCAATTGTATTTTAAATTAACGGGCTAATGTTGTTCATTTTGAACTATTGCAAAATTAAAAAACTGCAATGGCAAAGAGATGACAACACATATTTTTTTTTTTTGTAGATTTAGAAAATCAAAATCAATAGTAATCATGATAAAAAATTGAAAAATAAAACAAAAAATAAAAAATTTAAGGAATTGAAACTAAATAAAAATAATTAAATTTTTAAATTAAATAATAATTATATTAATTAAATTTTAATTCAAATAAGATTTAACAAGTAATATTACATGATACATATATATACATAATTAAAATATGCTTATACGTTATATACATATAGTTAAATTGTAAAACAGCAGTACGTTGAATTCTTAATGAAAATCGATTTTTAAATTTTAACTGAATTGAAACCGTAAAAGAAAAAATGTAAAAAACCTTAAAAATATTTTTATTTTACTTCTGTTTTTATTAAAATAAACCGCATAGAATATTTGTTTATAATATTTTGTATTATTGAAATAATACTTATTCTTGAAATAGTGCTTATTTCCTTGTCCTTAGCCTGAAATGTCGACAAGGTTTTGTCTCATCCTTTGCCCGCGCTCCATAGACAAACACCATAATGATATAATGATCCTTTTTCGCCATCGCCAAAGTAAACAATTTATTACAAGCAAATTTTATGATTTATGTTAAAATTTTTATTGAAATAATACAATATCATTTATTCACAAATCATTTTAACGTTTATTTAATCTTCGTTTCATCCAAGTTCATATTTTGTTTTAGTTTGAATCGTCGGATTTCGTTAGTTTCAAAGGTTCATTTTCAAAGGAAAGATTGAAAACGGTTCAAATTTAAATTGGATATTTTTTAGCGGTCTTAGTTCAGTTAGTTTAATACTCTGATTTATAATTCGCTAACCAATAAGATTGTATAATAAGATGTATTAATAATAATAAAAAATTATTGTTACCTAGATAACTTTTTAAGCGTGCTCATTTTGAAAGCAATTGACTTTGATTTTTTTGTTCCAATATTTTTGCATTATAACACAATAATAGATTCACAATTAAAGGAAAAAGTAAAACAAAATTTAAATAAAAATAAAAAAAGAAATTATTCTTATAAAAATGTTATATTTAATTGTACGTAAGCTAAAATATTTCATAAAATAACAGTTTTATAAATAAAATAATGTTAAAATAAGTCTTTATTTATTTATAAATAATATTAATATTAAATTTTTTTTCGATAAGTAAGTTATTTTTTATTTTTTTTCTATGTAAGTAAATTTTGTATATGTTTATGTTTGTAGACATAAAAATTGTATTTTATTATTTAAATCATTAAGTAAAGTATATATAGATAATGTGACAACTATTGTAGTTTACAAAAAACAAAACTGTGTATAAAAATAATAATTTAAGATAAAAAAAAATAAACATAATATTATTAATTTAACAATATTTTAAACCAGTTTTAATATTAAAATATATAATGTCAGTTTTATAAATTTCGAATTTTATACTAATTTAGGATGAAAAAAATGTATTTAAATTGATTAATAATATCCAAGATCTTTTTTTATTTAAACTCTGGCCACATTTATATAAAAAAATTCATCAAAATTATATACATATTCGTAAACTGTTAAGAGATTAACAGTGCAAATTTCAGTACTTGTATCATTCACAAATTTTCATTTTTGTTTAAATATCCTAAAACTAAAATATGATATCAAAATTAATATTTATATACAAAGTCACATAAAATTTTAATAAAATATACACAAATGTATGTTTTAAAAATATAGAAATCTCCATGAAAAAAAATTTCAACGAACCCATATTATTTTCAAAATTATTTTCATAAATTTTTATAACTAATTTTAGCTAATTCTGTAGTTAACGTATTGTTATAGATTTTTTTATCTGTACTGAAATTATTGCCGAGTTTTAATTATTCGATTTTTATAATTAAAATTTAAAAATATAAAATTTTAATGAAACTGAAACAAATACAATACAACCATTATTCTATCTGTATAAAAAATATTTTTAATTTTTATTAAAATTATTAGTTTTCTTAAAATATGTTTTCGATTTAATTTAGAAAAAATAAGAGAATAAATATATTAAAAAATAAAAGTTATATGAAACAAGTTACGAACGTTTTTTTTTATATTATTATCAATGCCCACTTAGTATATTATCCACTTTCTAAATCTCTTCAGGTTTTCGATTTCTATAAAATTTATAGTTTGTATTTATTTTAATATTAATACAAACTTAAAAATCTATATTTTATATTTAAATATTCAAGAGTTAATTTTTTTATATACAGATATAAATTGATATTTAAATTACCATATTTTATTAATTATAGAATAGAATTTCTTTGGCAATAGAAAAATATTTGGTACAAAAGTGGTCTTAACATTTACGTATTATCTATAATATACACACAATACTTAATAAATTAATTGGTACTTAATTACCAACAATAAAATAGAATACTTGTTAATAACAACCATTTACATGAAATTTAAATAAAGTACATATTAATTTTCCGACATATCTGTGCCAAGAATGAACTTTATTTTTTTTACTAATTATGTTATATTATAAATTTTTACTAATTATGATCTTGAAATACATATGTCCAAAACTTTTTAATATTTTTATTTTTTAAATTGATAATACATAATTAAATGTATTTAGATACTTTATATGTGTGTATATATAGCCAAAATGATTTTATTACAATTCTATTATATTAAAAAAAGAATTTTTATTGAAAAATAATAATTATATTAATTGAAAATGAAAGTTAATTATTTTAATCAATACCACCTATAACAAATACCTACAAATCTAGTCCTTCCAATTAGATTTTCAATTTACTACCTGATTTAAAACATATCTCTTTTCATTTCAATTTAATTATACATAAATATTATGCATAGAAATAATTACTTAAAAATAAAAAATACTAAAATAATTTCAAACTTTGACAATACAAAACTAGTTAATAAAAACAATATAGAAGTCAAAACAATTAAATAAAATAAAAAATGTTATAAATTGCAATAAAAAATTTAAATAGAAAAATAAAACCTGAATCTGTTATAATATGTAGATAATTATATATACATATATATTATATAAATCTATTATAATAAAAAATATTTTTATATCTTTTATTTTACTAAGCTAAGTACTTTACATTTTTTTTCTTATACATAATATGTACAATGTGATGAAAAATTGAATTTGTAAAATATTATTTGAATTTTTATTTGGTCAAAATAATCATGATTTATTGCATTCTCCGAAAAAAAGTTTTTCAAGTTTTTATAAAATTAAATTAATAAATAAAATACATATACAAAAATAGAAAGTTTTTATATCATAAAAATAATTGTAAAAATCTATTCAAATATATTTTATTAACTTCAATTTAAAATATTTTTTGAACTATTATTGCTGTATAAACATTGTTTGTTATGGCCTAATTCTAAAATTAATTCTTAATTAATTGAGAAAGTATACTATCTAATAGAACTTGAATTCAAATCCTAGATTTTAAATTTTTTTTACTGACAATTACTTTAAATTTTTCGTCAACAACTAAAAATTTTCATGAAAATTAGAATTCAAAAACAAAATATGTACATATTTTAAACAATTCTTATCAAATTTTATTTCGATTAATTTAATAGCTAATTATAACAAAAATAAAAAATTGATTAAAATATGATAAAATAAATTTTATAAAATTAAAATAGGATAAGAATATGTTTTAAAAAGTTTTCATTAAATTGAAAGTATGCTTTTCCAGATTCTTGTACCTATAATTAATAAAATTATAGATTTAGATTTTTCTTTTTCACATAAAATAAAAAATGTACATATTATAATTAATATAAAAATAAAAAATGTATAATTATTGTAATATTTAGTTAAAAATAGAATCACAATGTAAATAAATATTAATAATTAAAAAAAAAAAATTAATAAAAACAATAGTTATTAAGCAATTTAAATACAGGCTTTATTGTACTATTTGCATTATTTAAAATATAATTTTTCTTATTATATTAATATGAGATTGTTATGTATCATAAAGTACAGCAAGAATTAGTAAAACAATAAAATTATATTTCGATTTAGTAAAAGTATTAATCACAATTTGAAAATGCTACTAATTTTCAATAATTTTATTATAATCAAATTATTTTCATTATTAACTTATTTTTCAACTTAAATTTTCTTTTCTCATATTTATAGTTTTAAAATTGCATTAATTTTATTACAAAAATTTTAAATTTTAATTCCAATTCATTTGGTTAAAAATAAATTATATATAAAATAACATAAGTAGAACTGTAAAGCCTACATATTTTGTTTTTTTTTGCATACTAAATATTTTGTATACTTGTTAACATAATATTAATATCTGACTAAATATTTTAAACATTCGAACAATAATTATTACATTACATATTTTTAAAACAATATTATTTTGCTATAATAAATATTTAAACTAAATAAATAAATTGTGCAAAAATTAAGTATACATTTATTAAGTATACGTACTTTAAACTTTATAATATTTAATTAATTTCAGAAAATAGAAAAAAAATTTCAGAAATGAAAAAAGAAAAAAATATTTGAATTCTTAGATAGAAATCTTTACTACACATTGCTATTAAAATTAATAAAATTATATATAATGAATATTCTACTACAATTTAATTTAAACTAAAAATTTTGTTTCCTTAAAGATTTTTTTTATATGTTTCGATGAGCTGATCTGTATTGAAGTTATTAATCGTATTTAATTAATAATAATTCTTATAAAAGGCCAATAAAAATATATCAAGTTGAAAATATTTTATTACCAATAATAAAAATGTTTTTTAATTGTATCAAGAAAAAATTTGAGGATTGGTTCCTTTTAAAGTCAATACGAACCATTTTCGTAGCATATTTAAAATGTGCCACTTAGTTTTAATACTGAAAAATAATTGTACGGGTAAACATTTATTACATATTATTTATTTTTAAATAATAAGGGTAATATGAAATTTTTTTATTTGCATAAATTAAATTATTTGATTCTTTTTTTCTTTCATAACCACTACATTATTTTTATAATTTCCAAAAATAATTATTCATAATTTTCAAATTCTTTTCCAAAATCTTAATACTTTATTAACAAAATTTTTCAGTTTTATTATTGCAATCTTACAATATTGTTTTAAATAAATCTGCTGATTTTTATTTATAAAACCAAGATCAGTATTTTGTATATTCAGTATTGGATGTGATCGGCTCATATATAAAATTAATAA